GAAGTCATATTTAGACGTGAAAAGGACGTCTAAATATGACGTCATTTGGGTTGTGACATATTCACGTAATTTTACCGTCTTTATCACGTTAGTTTTCAGAGGATAAATGACGTCCTGTATGACGAAAATAAGATGTCATAATGACGTCAGTCTGCTGCCTGGGTTTTAAAGACTAGAATAAGTGTATTAAAAAATTCAGAGGCAAGCAAAGAAGGAAAAGCAGATAAAGAAATAGGTAGCAAATTTAAATCTAGCAAATCCTTCTTGGCTACAAATTCGATTATATGTTTATTTTGCAAAGGGAGTTATTTTATTAACAATTGCGAAAAATTCTTAAAATTAGCCATATCTGCTAGGTATGAAAACGCTGTTTAATTGTTTAAAGAAAGCTTCGCATGCAGCTAGAAATTGTAAATTAAGTGGACGTTGGAAATATAATGGTAAACACTATACTTTGCTCCATAAACCTAAGGAAAATGGATCAGTAGTAGACATTTCGGAAGTAACTCCTGAATTAGTTGTTGAAGAAGCATCCCAGGTAAATACTTTCTTTTCTGGAGATATTGTAGTAGGAGATGTCATTCTCTCAACAGCTTTGATTAAAGTAACAGATAGAAAAGGTAAAACTCATTTATGTAGGGCTTTATTAGACAATGGTTCACAGTCAAATTTGGTAACCAAAGAGTTTTGTGAGAAATAAATATTTCTTTAGTTGGTATTATTCAAACTGTTTCTCATATTAATCAGAAGAAATTTAATCTAATCATTTTGATTTTAATAAAACATCCTGTTTAGTGGTTCCTAAAATTAGTAAGAAAATTCCTGGAAAATGTTTAGATGGCATTCATACTAGAATCTCTAACAATATAAAATTAGCAGATGCAGCTTTTTATAAATGTGGTAAAATCGACTTGTTGATTGGAGTAGATATACTTTCTATGAGTTATTGTGTGTAGGTCAAGTATCTTTGGGGAAACATTTGCCTATGTTGCAGAAGCAGACTAAGTTAGATTGGGCGGTTAGAGGTTCTGTTTCTTTAATTAATCTTTTAACCTCTAAATGTAATTTAAACTTGAAGATGGATATCCAGGAACAATTAATGAAATTTTGGACAGTTGAAGAATCAGCTATATTAACAAAGGGTCCTCTCTGAGGAAGATAAGACGTGTGAAAGATTATTTGTAGAAAATGTTGATAGGACTGAAAATGGACAGTTTATTGTTAGAATTCCTTTATTAGAGTCACCTAGTAAATTAGGGCATTCTAAAAGACAGGCCATAAATAAGTTTCTTTCTCTTGAAAAAAGATTTTCCAAAAATGACGATTTTTTTTAATCCAAACATGTCAGTTGTTCAAAGTCAGAATGAAATTTCTTATTATTTACCTCATCACCCAGTCGTTGATGAAAATCGTTCAACTACAAAGTTAAGATTCGTTTTTAATGGTTCAGCACAGTGATATTGGAGTTTCAGTTAATGATTTACAGTATATTGGCCCTAATGTTCAGGATGATTTATTGGCAATTTTATTTAGATTTAGGAAGTATAAAGTAGTTACGAGCCCCAACACAAAAATGTTCGGACATCAACTGATTTTGCGAAAAAGTTTGAAAATTTCCTTAAGGGAGTCAATATCATATGTTTTTCATTTATAAGACATATTAGGTCTTTTCCTTTGCATCGAAAGTGTAGCGCTGAGCTACGTCACTTCTGAAAATATCGTTCTATCCATACAATTTGTATAAACGGGAAACAGGGGCGGCTCATGACCAAAATTTTGGGAGTTCACAGTAGCAGAATATAGCAGATATAGGTAAAAAACTGTCAATGTTTTAGAAAGGTATACTTTTCTAAAACACTAAAAGTTTTTTTCATACATCTGTACTGATACCTATATTCTGTCACTGTGAACACTCCCACGAGCCGCCACTGTGGGGAAGGATGTCTGGTTTCAGTGTTGGAAAACTGCACTTTATAGACGGAATTGTAAACGCAGAAAAATATCAGAACATTCTTGAAACCAATTTGTTAGTGTCAATTTCAATTTTATCACCTGATGGTAACTTTACTTTTCAACAAGATGGCGCCTCCTGCCATGACCACAAGAAAGTGGCTGCAGGACAACAATATTTGCGTCCTTGACTGGCCCTCCAGCAGCCCTGATCTAAATATAATCGAAACTGTATGGCACAAGATGAAGCAGCAATTAAGAAATGATCCACAGCGCAACATTTCTGATTTGCGGGTAAAATTGCAAAATATATGGGATTCTTTTACCGCGGAAGATTGCGAAAAGCTTGTTAAAACTATGCCTGATAGAATAAAAGCTGTTATTTAGGCAAAGGGAAATGCAACCAGCTATTGATGTGATTTGTCCGAACATTTATGTGTCAATAACTATGCATTATTATCAACATTAGCTTAGTTTTATTGATAAATATCAGTTTATTTGAAAACAATATCATAAATATGATGTAAAACAATACATATTATGTCTTATAAATGAAAAACATGATATTGAATCCCTTAAGGAAATTTTCAAACTTTTACGAAAAATCAGTTGATGTCCGAACATTTTTGTGTTAGGGCTCGTATTTACGCCGACATTAAGAAAATGTATAGAATAATATTGGTTCCTAAGGATCAAAGATATTTACAAAAAATAGTTTGGAGAGCAAATCCAGAGGAAGAGCTTTTAGAATATAAAATTAATATGGTTACTTATGGAACTAGGTCAGCTCCATATTTATCTATTAGATATTTAAAGCAATTAGGATTAGATAATTTGAGTAAGTTTCCAGATGCTTAAAAGTTCATTTTACATGATTTCTATGTAGACGATCTGTTATCAGGTACCAATAATGTGGAAAAAGGAGTTGAACTATTTAGTAAAGTGTCAGAAATCTTGAAATCAGGTGGCTTTAAGTTAAGAAAATGGATTTCTAATTGCCCTGAAGTAATAGATAGAATTCCTGGTGGTAGTGCAAAAGCGGGAAAACTATCTTTTGGAGACAAGGGTGAAAATAAAACTTCGGAAAATTTTTGGTCATTGGAATTAGATTTGATAAAATTTGATATAAATTTTCCTCATCGTAATAAAATTACAAAAAGGTCAGTCGTTTCAGACATATCTGGAATTTTTGACCCATTAGGTCTGTTAGGTTCCAGTATCATTAATGCAAAGACCCTGCTGCAAAAACTCTGGACATTAAAATTGGATTGGGATCAAGAGCCTCCGAATGATATTTGTAAGGTGTGGTCGTCTAAATTAAAGGATCAATTTGTTTTATTAAATAAATTAAATATTCCAAGACAGGTGGTAGGAGATAAAGCTCTTAAGGTGGAATTACATGGATTCTCTGATTCTTCCTTGGATGCTTATGGTAGGTGCGTGTACGTTAGAAGCATTAATAAATCTGGTCAAATAAATGTGTCTTTGGTATCCGCTAAAGTTTCACCTCTAAAATCTTTAACAATTCCAAGATTAGAATTATGTGGTGCATTGGTACTTACACAATTGGTTGAAACAATTACAACAGTCAATAGATATGGAAACCTCGGATTTTTATTACTGGTCAGATTCTACTAAAGTTTTGGGATGGCTGTCAATGTCACCACATTTATTGCAACAATTGTAAGCAATAGGGTTTCTCAAATTCAGAGTTTAAGTAAATCATCAGAATGGTATCATGTATATCTGAATCAAACCACGCATATCTGCTATCTAGAGGGTTGGTTCCAAATGATCTACTTACAAGTAAGATGTGGTGGGAAGAACCTACATGGCTCTCTTTGGGTAAAAACGATTGGCTTCATTCAATTGGGCTAATAGTGGAAGAACTACCTGAAGTAAAAGGTACCTACTTCAACATTTTGTGCTTATGTTTTAAGGTTTGCACATAATCTTAAGAATCCTAGTAATAGATTGATAGGTCCGTTATCAACAGTATAAATAGTCAATAGTTTAGAAAAACTTATGAAATTGTCACAAGACGATGCATTTCCTGAAGTTATACAAAATTTAATAGATGGAAAACTTATCAAGAATAAAAGCATGAGATTACATCCATTTATTGATTCTAATGGAGTATTAAGAATTGGTGGTAGGCTTCAGCTTTCTGGACTCGATTATGCTAAAAAAGCATCAGTATTTAATAACTCGTTCCCACAGATTCGCAAAACTTTTATTTAAAAGTGAACATATAAATCTACTACATTGTGAACCGCAGTTGCTCTCGTCTTCTGTTAGGGAAAATTTTTTGACGCTAGGGGGACGGAACTTAGCAAAAAAAGTTGTTTTTAATTGTATAAAATGTTTTCAAGTTAACACCTACATAATTTGTTTAGTAGTCTTTGGCTTTATCTGAGGAGAGAGTATGGCCAACTCCTCGATTTTGGAATACTGGAGTGGACTACGCAGGTCCAGTATATATTAAAATTCGCAGAGGTTATAACCTGATTAAGTGCTACATATCACTTTTTATTTGCTTTTCAACTCGTGCTATACATTTAATTGGTAACAAATTTAACTGCAGTTTTATAGCTGCTCTTAGGTTAGTATCACATAGAGGTAAACCTCAAACTATATTTTCAGACAATGAGTCTAATTTTGTAAAGACTAATACTGATATAAAGTGAATGTTTATTTGTCAAAACAATTTGCAAATGAAGGCATAAAATGGAAATTTATTCCTGCTTATTCATCAAATTTTGGGGGATTATGGGAGGCAGTGAAAGATAAGTTCTGTAACTAATTGTAAACCACTGTTATAACCATGTAAAATACATTGAAATGGCGGCCTTAAGAAACGTGATAAAAATGTGAGTAAGAAAATTTTCTTGTCGGTATAAATGCAATGCACCATTGATAAAAGCTTCAGTAATTAGCTTCATTAGTTATTGTTTTTGTGTTTATGATGCACAGTTATTTCTAAAATAAAGTATTTATTTTTTCATTTCAAGATACATAACTGATAATGGGAGGTATAAGAAAAACAAATGTTGAAAAACTGAAAGAATGACAATATTATATTACTTAAATTATAATGCAACAATAGACCTAAACTAAGGAGAATGACATACAAAATAAATAGTTTAAATCAAGAAATCTTTTGCAAATTTTTGATTACAATACTTTTCATATTATTTTAGTTTAGATGATGATTAAATGAATATCAATGAGTTTAAGAAAAAATAAAATTTGGCAAAGTAAATGCAGATTGAATAGCCCGATTATTTTATTTCAAAAGCTTTAATTTTTATTTATTTATGGTAATGTACCAAATAATACAGTGTGTTTCAATCAATAAGTATAATCAACAACCAAATACGAGGTCCACCTGGTAAATACCGACATTGAGCTGTAATATAGAGCATAAGAGAGCTATTGTTGAAAACAGGCATTCATCAGGTAGAGGGTACCTTTGTAAGTATCCCCACCAAACAACATAGGCTGCAACTACCCAGTTGTCAACTAAAGGCACAATGTCAGAAATATATAAATTAATTATCAATCTCTTCAATAATTTATAATGCAAAAAAGTATTTTTTAACTGATTTTACTTATTGATCATGCGATTCGTGTGTTACAACTTTGCCCCAGGGTATTCTTAAAAAAATGTACTCACAATTACTTTTTCAATTTTTTTTGTAATCATTTTTTAGCTATTCATCTGCGTTGATAATTTCTGTAGATTAAATCAAATAAATAGTATTCAAAATTATGGTAAATTAACTTAAAAAAGATATTTATGGAAAATTGTGAGATTTTAGTGATACTGAGATTTTGTACTTAAAAATTACAACGATCATCCAATGGCCTTTATTAAAGTTAGTTCTAACTCGTATATACTAAAAAAAAAAAAACTTTTTTTATAACTTACTAATACATCGATATCCATTCAAAAGCAACTTAATAGGATCAAGGAATGTTGACAATTTCTTCAAACGCATTAGAACTACTTTTAAAAAAACCAACCCCTATTTACATAAGAAATAAAAAATAGCATGCAAACAACCGTTTCGTTTCCTACTTTACGATACTCTTAAATTAAAAGTGTAGTCAAAATACATTATCGTAATTTAAATGTGATTACATGGAAGTCGGAGACCAAAAGTTCATTTCCCGTAATTCGGATGCTTTTGCTTTGAATACTGCCGGTTTTTTGGATGAAGCATCGTCGATACTAACCGCTGACGAAGCTCGTTCTAGTTCTTCAGCGAGTTCTTCTTTGATTTGACCGACCGATTGGGATATTTCACGTCTTGCTAGTAAATTTGACAGAATCCAGCTTCCTGCAAAATAAAAATTAAATTTAGAATTATCCACTTGAAATGAAAAATCTCTATTTCTGAAAAAGAGACCAAGAAACAATTTCGAGTACTATAATTGCTCTACAAACGTTTACACAACGAATATAGAACAAGTTGCTTTAAGAAGACTTTAAAAATAATAATACAACTGTAGAGCGAAAATGGGTGCAGTTTTTAGAATACTATAAGTATTGCAGATAATTATTGTTTTTGCAACCATTAAAGAAAACTGATACAACATCAGCATAAAAAGTCTACTTAAAAATGAATGTTAAAAAGAAAAACAGAATTTCTAAGCAACTGTTCTAAATGCTATATTGACAATGTATTAAGGCATTTTTATATCGTATAGTATTGTTTAATGCAACAATCTTATCCTTTAGTTATGTCAAAATAAACGAAAATATAAAAATTGTTCAGGTAGAAAGTTACTGGTAATCAGAGGCGTAACTAGCCACCTGACCTGGGGGGGGCTAGGGTGGGCCTGTTATTGCGAATTAGAATCTTTAAAAAAGTAAAACAAATGTTGACTCTAATAAAAGGCACAAATAACAAATTTTTTGATCAAATCGTTTTAATATTTTTAATATACATAACCAAACAAATAAAAACTTTGAATAATATACAGGGTGTAACAAAAAGATGTCAACAGTTTCTGGTGTGGAAAATAAGATGATTTAAGCTAACCTGCTTACATAAAAAAGGGACAGTAAACAAGTTATTGTAGACATTTTAGAAGTGATTTTGTGCTCTCGTACTCTTAAACGAGTTAACATATTTTTATAAAAATGTACATGGGAGTATACAGTAACCAATAAAATGAAGTTAGTGGCGTTTAACCCTTTCGACCCCCTTGGGCTATATATGTCCCGACGAGAATTTAAAATTTCTATTTGGTATAAATACAACCCAATTTTAATGTATTATTTGATTAATGGTATTGTTCAAGCATATTTTTGAAAATAGAAAAGTTCTGGCAACGTGGCTTGTTGTTTACCGGTCATTTGTTCACTTGTTTACAAGCGTGCTAGGCGTGTTTGAAGCTTTTTTGCGTTGTCTGTGTTATTTCCAGTTCTTTCGTAAAATTTAAACATAAATTTATTATAAACATATATATTCATAAAGTTTATTTCAAAAACCAAGTAAAAAACATACCATTTTCTACTGGGACAAAAATATCTAAGTAGTATTTACAAGTGGGACGTATAAATCCCAGTGGTTTTTTTGTTACAGTATGTCGAAGATAGCATTATCAGAAAAAGAATTAAATTATTGGGAAAATGTTTCTGAAGATGAAGATATAGATAAAGATTATGAAACCCAAATAGAATCTTGAGGATGAGGAAATAAGTGAAGATGACGGAGAATCTTGTAGACATTGAAAGAGAATCTTCAGATACTGAAAGAGAATGTAGAACCGATGATCGCACAGAAAATGAAGACCAAAATCAAGAAATACAAGAAAACAATAAAAATCAAGATGAAGCCATTGTGTGGTCAAGGCTCTCTGATGACTTTCTACCAAAGTTCAGCATTCCTGCATAAAATACGTGTGAGTTAGATAAAGGATTTACAAGATCTTTGACACGATTTGAGGTGTTTAAAAAATTGCTTCCTCCAAGTTTATTCATCTTTATTTCTGGATGTACAAATAAAAGGATGACAATATTCGAAAGACAGAAAAAGAAACGCATAACTAAAACCGATGTAGGTGAAATTGCAATTGTTTTAGGATCTTCCCTAGTAATGAGTTATAACATATTGCTAGGTCTTAAACATTATTGGTCAACACATGGGAAATACACTAATAAAAAATAGTATTTCTAGAAATAGATTTACATTGTTATTATCTCAATTATACGTAAATGATCCAGAGAAGCAGGATACATCTAAAACATATTATGTGGATGAACTAGTGAACTGTCTAAAGTCAATATTCCAAAAATGTCAAGCAGATTCTTCCAGGCAAAGTATTGATGAAAGTATGGTAAAATATAAAGGCCGTTCTGGACTAAAGCAATATTTACCAATGAAACCCACTAAAAGAGGAATCAAAATATGGGTTAGATGTGATTCTTGCAATGGTTATACCTATGGCATGAATATTTATGCTGGCAAGGAAGATTCAGCAACAAGAAGGAACTCTTGGCGAAAGAGTTGTATACAAATTAGCCAGTACGATAAAGTCAACAGATGCAGCATTATGTTTCGACAGATTTTTTTACATCTCTAAAACTTATGACTAACATTCCATTTTCATCAGTTGGAACTGTTATGGTAAATAGAAAAAATATACCAAAGATTACAAAAAAATTGAACAGAGGAGAGTCCGAAATTCTTGGATATAAGTATGGTACCATTTGTGTCAAATGGCAAGACACTAAAGAAGTTACAGTGCTTAGCAACTGCCACGGAAAAAACTTGACTGTTGTTCAACGAAGAGGCAAAGATGGTATACGAAAAGATATAGAATGTTTAGAACTAGAAAAAATAACAACGACTCTATGCAAGATGTGCCAATTGCCCTTGCGCAAAAATTGTTTTACACCGTACCATACCTGAAAATAAACATTTCAAAAACTGTTTCTAGTTTTTTATATACTGGTGGGATGTATATGTCCCATTTAATATTACCAGTGGGACATATACGTCCCACTTGTCAATGTCAAAAATCAACATTTTTGAAACTACGTATTCTGGAAAATATTTTTCTAAAACATTAATCTATTTTTTGTTTTAAATCTTGTAATATTGAAAATAAAAAAGTGGGGATCAAAGGGTTAAAGTTGTTTCATTTTTGTAGGTTTTTTGACCCGCTACTTTTTAAGACAATGAAATTCAGTTTAAAACAGGGCGCCACTGAAAGTCTTCATCTATTTTCAATTTTTTTGTCTTTCTTTATTTGTTTGTAAAAGCCTTTGTTACTTCATTTACAATTCGCACATTTAATCATAAGGTGGCACAACTAAAAAATGCTAGTTTGGTAGAATCTGCCAAAAACGGTTTTATATTTGGAGCTGTCTTAGTATATTTGAACTTTGAGAAAATTTACGAAATATGAATAAATGAAATATGAAAAAAGGTTAAGCAATATTTTAAAGATGTATGTACAATTTAGTTTTTTTTTAAAGAAGAAAGGAAAAATGGTTTTACTGATGGTAAGAAAAAAATTCACAATTATGCCACTTTAGTAATAAAAAGAATATGTATCAATACGAAATGTGTCAATTTATGATTAAAAATTGCATAACGATTTAATTATTATTTTGGAGTAGTTCTTTTTTGGATTATATTAAAAAATATTCCAAGTAACAAAGCAAAAAATGCCTCTTTAGAAGCAAATTTACAAAGAATGCAAGATCAAACCCTGTCACTATTGGCACACAATTAACATTATGTCGCTTTAGGTCTAAAACATCTTACAAAATCTGATAGAACTAAACTGGCGCAAATATAAGTCTGCACTTCCTGGCTGACTATTTCAACGTAGGTCGGAGTTACCACAATAGATGGCACTATTTTGGATCGTTTAATTACCGAAAATCAAAATCTAAAAATTTTGATTTATGCCACTTTATGATTAAAGGTGCGAATTATTCCCTTGTATTATTGATCATTCATGAAGTTGTAAAATAGTAAAAAAATATAGAAACATTTCTCAGTGACCTTCTTTCTGGGGCATATAACTGAGTAATTAAGGCTTTCACAAACAGATACTAACAGAAAATTTCAAAACAGATGTAAGATTTCAGTGGCGTCCTGTTTTAAATTGAATTTCAATGTCCAAAAAAGTAGCAGGTCAAAGGGGTGCAGAACCCTTCTAAAACCCTACAGAAATAAAACACTAATTTCATTTTATTGGTTACTGTATACTAACATCCCATGTACATTTTTATAAAAATATGTTAATTCGTTTAAGAGTACGAGCACAAAATCACTTCTAAAATTTCGACTTTTGGTCCCTTTAACTTTTTTATATAAGCAAGGATGGGAGCTTGCCCCAGAGTCCCCCCCTGTAGTTACGCGCCTGTTTGTAATGTTATGTAATTGGATATAACAGCCCACACTTATTAAAATATTTGTTCATTTGAATGAAAATCTCACTTTACTGTAAAATATAATAGTATATTTTGTTAAAAAAATTTAAGGGGCCCACAATAAGTAGGTATTTTTAAAAATATTAATAAATTGATTTAAAAATTACTTGGCCAAACTGAAACTGTTCTTCTGAAAAAGTATACTATATAATTGATAATTAAATATAATCAAAATTTGTCAAGATGTTCGTTAATAAGTGATTATTTATTATTTAGCAAATATGGATATGTTTGCTTTTATGAAGCTGAAACTAGCAGCCAGAGTTAGCAATCTGTGTGAGAAATTGCATACCAGTTAGACATCACAAAATAAAGCAATTTTACTACTTAATTTGTCTTATTATAATAATATTAGTAATAATAACAATAATAACAAACGGAGGTTATCTGTATTTGGAAAAATAAATATTAGTAAAAATGAAATGAATATAGATACTCAAAAAAAAACGTTAAATGTATATTCAATTTTTTTTAACGAAAAATTATCAGCACTGGGTTAATCATACACAAAAAGATTCCTCAAGTAATAGGCTACAAGAACACGTCTATCAAAAATACAATATTGAGTGCTGGATTGTTGAAATTATTATATTTGTGTGCTAGAGTAATATCTAACCCAATACACGTTGTTTTTTTAATGAAAAATAACCGGCGCTGGGTTTTATCATACATTAATGGAATCCTCAAGTAATATGCTATAAGAATAAGTTAATCACAACTACAATATCCAGTGCTAGAACGTTGCAAATATCAAAAAACATTTAGGCTTGAGAGACATTTCCAATAAAAATGTGATTTCTCTTAACGAAAAATTATCGGCGCTAGGTTATATCATGTATCAATGGATTTCTTAATCAATAGGCTACAAGAAAACGTCAATCTTAAACATAATATCGAGTGCTAGAACGTTAAAAATATCAAAAAACGATTTGGCTCGAAAGACACTTCACATAAATATGTGATATTTCTAAATGAAAAATTATCGTCGCTGGGTTATATGATACATCAGTGGATTACTCAAGCAATAGAACTTTGAAAATAACAAAAATTATTATTATTTATTGTATTTTTGTTTGACGTATTCTTAAACTATTGCATAAGAAATCCACTGATGTATGATTTAATCCATCGCTGACAATTTTTCATTAGGAAAAATCATATTTTTATGTAAAGTGTCTCTCGAACCTAAATATATTTTGTTAATTTAATCGTTCTAGAACTTGATATTGTTCTTTTAATTGATTTATGATGTAACCCAGTGCCGTTAATATTTCGTTAAAAAACATGTTTTTTGTTTTAAGTATTAATTAAGCAGCTGATATTTTATTTTTGATTAATGTTTTGTTGTAGACAATTGTTTACGGAATCCACTGATGTATGATTTAACCCAGCGCCGATAATTTTTCATTATGGAAAATCATTTTTATGTGAAGTGTCTTTAGAGTCTAAATATATTTTATTCTAGCACTCGGTATTGTACTTTTGATTAGCGTACTTTTGTAGGATTCTGTTTTAGTAATTCATTGATTTATTATAGGTATAACGCAGCACCATTAATTTTTCGTTAAAAAAACATATATTGTTAAGTATTACTCTGGAATACAAATATAATAATTTTAACAATCCAGGACTTGATATTGTATTTTCGATTGGCATACTATTTTCAACTATTGCTTAAAAAAATCCTATTTTTATGAGAAATGTTTCTCAAGCTTAAATAATTTTTTTGTTGTTTTTAACATTCTAGCACTCGTTATTGTATTTTAAGTTGATGTATTCTTGTAGCCTATTGCTTGAGTAATCCACTGATGTATCATATAACCCAGCGCCGATAATTTTTCATTTAGAAAAATCAAATTCTTATGTGAAGTGTCTTCCGAGTCAAATGGTTTTTTGATATTTTCAACGTTCTACATGCTTGTCCGAAAATTATAAGGGGTGCTGTAATCACCTTAAGGATTCCATTTATGTATGATAAAACCCAGCGCCGTTAATTTTTCATTAAAAAAACAATACGTTTGTTGTGTTAGGTACTACTCTAGCACACAAATATAATAATTTCAACAATTCAGCACTAAATACTTTATTTTCGATTGACGTGTTCTTGTAGCCTATTACTTGAGGAATGTATTTATGTATGATTTAACCCAGCGCCGATATTTTTTCGTTAAAAAAAAAGTTTAAAGTACCTATATTCATTTCATTTGTACTATTTATTTTCCAAATACGGATAGCCTCCGTTTGTTATTATCATTACTATTGTTATTATTACTAATATTATAGTAATAAGACAAATTAAGTGGTAAAATTGCTTTATTTTGTAATATCTAACTTGTATGTATTTTCTCACCCAGGCTGCTAACTCTGGCTGCTAGTTTCAGCTTCATTTTGCTTTTAGAACAGTTTTACTCTGTTAGTCATAGTTAGAGAACAATAATTAACCTACCATAGTAAATATTCGGAATAAATGAATCTTAGGAAAAATGTTAGTATTACTATAGTTATTTTCTCACAACCACTTACCTTTGGACTTATCGACGTCGGTAAAAGCACCAGTAAAGTATTTGTTGATAACTTTCCTGTTGGCCTTCGGACTACTGGCAGGCGAGGCAACAGGTGACGCGGGCAAGGATTTGCTTCCTCTACGCTTCCTGTCGTATGTTTCTTCCATAATACAATTCGGATCGTTACTTCTGATACCTAGTCCTTTTCCGGATACCATCTGAGACGCTACCTTTATTATGGAACTTCCGCACTTGGCTGCTTCACCTTTGAAACCGTCGTCCGTACCAGACGACTTTGTTTTCATGTGCGATGTAGTTTGGGGTGGTGGACTTGTATCTAAATAGTAAATTTTGAACATCAGTGCAAAATTCAATGACAGTGGCATTTCGAAACAACAGAATATTGTTCAACGTTTTATAACAAATGTTTAATAATAATTAGACCCATTATGCGTTTATGTCCTTTTTGAATATTTATGCTGAATGTACAATTTCTTTTGGAATTTAATTTTCTGTGTAGAGAATTTTATTTCCTACAAACTTGTTCTCGTATGATTTTTTCATAAAGTTTATATTTATGAAGATAGTTTCAATAATAAACTCATTAACTCCATAATATCACAATTTTCAGATTTTTTTTTCTCAAATCCGTCTACTTTAAGAGATATTTTGAAAAAACTACGATTTTATGAAAAAATAAACTTCAATCGGCTAGCGGCACGTGTACTTGTTGTTAAAAAAAAAATTCCCCCGTATTTTTTCATCAAACAGAAGGTTTTTCTAAGGGGTCGGAAAAAATTTAATTTTTAACGACCACTCTAATGAAAGGTAAAACGTTATTGTCTGGATGAAAAATTGTCGGTCTTAAAAAAAAATATATTTAAGGAGTATTTTTAAAAATTAAAAATTTAACTTTCAAAAAATTGGTGAATACTTTTAAATGAAATATAACTTTAAAATAAGTAGTAGGTTGCCCTATAGTCTTAATATTAATCTTATGGCTAATAAATCCAAGAAAACGAAGGAGAACAGTCTCACAGTAGTTATAACACTGTTTATTACTACAGAATCAAATAAAAAATAGAAATAATCACGTAAATAAAGAAATAGTAGTTTGGGCCACAAGAGTGGGTATGATGGCCTTTCAGCACGACGCCGTAGGCGAAGTGCTCAATTGTCTGAGTACGATGTGAACAATCCACTCGAGTTGTACAGTATATTTTTTCTACGACCCACTAACGAAAATTTACAAATAAAAAATATTTTAAGTTATTAAGACAAAATAACTAATTTTAATATAATTTATGACTTTTAATAATTTTTAAAATAAATAAAATGAACAAAAAAAAAGAAAAAAAAGTTCAATTCATTTTTCTTCATCCGAGTCTTCCGTATGGAAGACAAGAACGCTGGCCATAGGACCACCTATTCTTTTATTTTTGTTGCTTTAATACTCGTAATTAAATTGACTTCATATAGTTTTATTTAAATTAACAAATTATTTATAATTATAGACGAAATAAAAACAGAAATGCTATTATTTACAATTTTACAAAAGAATAACCCATTTTAATGTATGTTTAATCTCAATAACTAAAAAATATACTGACAATTAGTTTGACAGAATTGTCACTTATTTAAAATTTTAAAAATAATAGCAGTCGGTTGATCAAAATATGAACGGTGATTGGTGGATTTCATTTTTATGCTTTACCTAGAATGGATATGAAATATATTCGTTCAGCTGAAGGCAATAGCATACTTTTTCGTTTTGTAATCTGTGCGTAGATAAGCTAATATCCATGTAGGTGTACAAAAAAACATTTACTGGACTCTCTATGTACTGAGCCTTTAGCATAGACTAAATTTACCTTTAATATGACAATTAAAATGTTGGTTGGTTTGAGATTCCAACATATAGTCCAATCAAATAGACCGTTCAATCAAAATTTTGGAGGAAATACAGGAATTTTTGATATAAGTCACTTTTAGAGTATTTGAAAACGATATGTAAAAATTTTTCTTTTTCGGGCTCCAACACGGTAGATGCTATAAAATAAGTTTCTAATAAAAATTGTATAGCATAAAGTTTTACATAAAAATGATATTTAGCATTTTTTGCTATTATTAAAACTAACAGAGTTGGGGATGGTCAGAAGTTAAGAGGAGATATATATGACTTTAAAAAATCATAGCGAGCTAAAAATTCAATGATTTTTAGTTTCTTTTTATTATTTACTCAAATAAATTTTGAAGTGAACTTATTATGGCTTCCCTGATATGACAATTTAGTCCCCATTTGAAATTCCATTAAATAAATAAACACAACTAAAAAATTTAAAAACAAATGAAAAATTTAACAACAAATAAAAAAAATTAAAAATAATAAAAAAATAACAAAAAAATAAAAGTAGAGATAATAAAAATTTAAATAAAAAATAGTTAAATTAATAAAAATAAATATGTAAATAAAATTAAACAAAAATAAAAATATATAAAAATAATTAAAAAAAAATTATCAAATATGATGAGAAAAAATATAATTCAACAGTTCTGTTTAAAATAAATTCAAATATATCTAAAACAAATCAGATATCCAGATTCTTTTTTGTTCAGCTGCTAAAAAAGTGCTTGATTGCCTAAATAAATATATTAAAAATTAACAAACAAATTTTTCATTACAATTTTTGATAATATATTTATTTTTTCTGCTTTTATATATTTTGATTTATTTTTATTAGTTTCATTTTATTTATGTATTTATTTTTTAATCATATTTATTTAGTTTTATTTTTTTTTATTTGTTTTTATTAACTTTTATTCATTTAATAGAACTTCAAAAGTGGGGACTCATATTTTTCATGTTATATATTTTTCATATAATATATATTGACAATATAAATTAAAATTGTTATAACTTAAAAAAAAAAATTCTGAAAAGAAAGTTTATATTTTTCTGAGTAAATAATAAAAAATCATTGAATTTTCAGATCGCTATGATTTTTCAAAGATATCTTAATTTCTAACCACCCTAACTCTGTTAATTTTAATAATAGCAAAAAATGCTAAATATCATTTTTATGTAAACTTTATGCTTTAAAATTATTATTAGGAACTTTTATTATAGCACCTACCGTTTTTAAATAACCTTAAAAAACACTTTATTTTCTCTTTTCGCCATTTGACGGAGCCTGAAAAAAAATTTTTTTTTTCACATATCGTTTTCAAATACTCTAAAGTGACTTATAACAAAAATTCCTGTATTTCCTCAAAAATTTTGACTTAAAGGTCTATTTAATTGGACTAATGTATTTGTTGAGATGTTTAATTCACAGTGTGACATTAGCCGGAATAGTTATTTTGTGAACATATTATATGATTGCCAAAAGGAAAAAGCAATGTTATTTTATGTATAATTACTCAATAAACAACAAATATGTTTTTTAAGAATGACGTTAACTAAATGATAAATGTATAAAATTGTATAAATACAAAACGATTGCAGAAAAATTAAACGAATATAATAATTAAAAATGTCATTGTTTAATATGTAAACAATGATAAATAAATGCAATATAATTATTTGTAAGTGGTATTTTTTGTTTCACAAATTAATAAAATTAAATTTAAATATTACCTTGCATCATCAAAAAAAATGTCAAGTTCATGTTTGATGATTTTCTAATGAATTTGAACTATGACTTGTGATTTTTCTAAAATTAACGGAATTCCAGAATCCTTGATGCATGTATTCACTGATTTTAAAATTAAAAATAAGTACAAGTTTTAAAAAATTTATAATGCAACTTATTCTCACAATCAAGTTAAAACGTTATTTGAATACTGTACTTATTTTTTCTTTACAACGTTCACAACTAATAAACTATTATTTCACTACACTTTCGCTAGTACTGTTATACTTCTGGATTCACTGACACTGCGACTAACTATGAATGTTTCCTTCCTATTAGGTAAACTATACCAACCATAATTTAACTTTTATTGTACCAATTACAATTCTCAGGACCAGGGATTAAATCGGTCAATATTTAATTAAATATCAATAATGATGATAATTAACTAGATACTGATAGCCACAGACGCTTTACCTGGAAGCTGTTTAAATTTAAAACGGAAATACAGGGGCGTCATTGTCATTAGGATAATTTACCTGAACAGTTGAGATTTGTAGAAGTACTTCAATTACGTAGTAGTTATGCACAAATAAGCATCATTTAATACTGCTCTCAGACTTTGGCAATTATAGTTGTTGCGCCAATATGATATTATCTATTTTCCATCAGCAAAAAGTAAACATAAATGAGAAAATTCTATAATAGTATCTGCAGTGTTAAAATATTTTGTTTCTAAAATATTAGTAAGTAAGTGATTTGTTACAAATCGTTGAAAAATTTCAATTTAAACGGTACCTGAATATTATTATAAAAAATATACATGCCAAAAAAAATAAATATTTACGGATCCAAATAAAATACGTGAATAATACACTGCGTGTCAATATTAACGCATAATTTTAAAAAGAACTATACAGGGTGTTTATTAATTGAGTACCTATACTTAAGGGTGTGAATCCTTGGCTGATTATAAGAAGAAAAGTTAATATCTACATATGTCGTAAACCTCTTAATTTTTGAGCTACAGGGTGTTACCGTTTTAAGAAAAAATAACTTTTTTTTATCATATTTTTCTTATCACTCCAGATATTTTTATTAAATTTAAACTGAATGTTTTTGAAGAAAAAAATGGTACGCAACTACTTTTTCTAAAAACCATTATTATTTTATTATTTTTGAAATCCTCATTTGGAGCAAATTTGGTCCATAGACTTACTTTCGCGTAAAAAAATAAAAGAGACTGATTTTAATATTTTGTTGAAATTTAGTGTGTTGAACACTTTTGTTAGACAAAAATTAATTTTCTACTTTCACAAATGATATTTTGGTAGGCATGATATTGAATATTTGAAAAAAAGGCAAGCACAGTAAATGCCCTCTTAAAGGTAATTAAATAAAAAATAGTAGGCTGGGTAAAGCGTCATAATTTTTGACGTTTTTTTTTTTTTTTTTTTTTTTTCAAAAAGACAACAAAATTGACATTGATTTGAGTAAAAGGTAAAATCTGATAAAAAATGGTAAATTTTACGAACAGTGAATTAGTTGACATACATTTGACTTATAGGTTTGCAGACGGAAATGCATACGAAGCCAGGCGGATATACCAAGAGCGGTGGTATCCAAATCGCGTACTACCAGATCCGAGAACATTTTCTAGGATTCATAGACGTCTTCAAGAGACCGTAACTTTAAAAGTAGACTACAGGTATAAAAGAGTCCATCAAACAGTAAGAAGAAGGAATTATACAACATTTAATATTTCACATGTACTTGTTTGGAAAATTCTCATAGAAAATTTGTTATACCCATATCAATTCAAAGAGTTCAGGCAATGTTCCCTAGAGATTTCCCGTTGAGCATTGATATATGTGAGTGATTTTCTCAAAACCTGCTGGAAAATCCGTTATTTGACAGGCAAATTATTTTTACCGATGAAGCTAATTTTTCTTGAAACTCAATAATAAATTTCCATATCAACCATTTATGGCCGGATGAAAACCCTTATGCAATTCTTGAATCAAATCATCAAAACAGTTCTCATTAAATGTTTGGGCTGGCATTATTGATGATTAGGCCCACTTTTTCTCCCAAGGAGACTTGATATATAATAATATTAACACTTTCTTGAAGATCTGCCGCCAATGCTTGAATACCTTCCTCTTTTATTAAGAAACCAGAGGGGCTATATTCAGTGTATCGGAGCACTAATTTCTTTCTCATCAGAAATGTCATACGTCAATGTGGAAACGATGTTTTTAAAGGCCTTGAAGATTAAAATTCTTAGGAGAATCTTAATTATCTCTAAATAAACCGAGAGAAACAGTAAGTTCACACTGGCCCTAAGAACCCTAAAAATACTGTTTTACCTTGACGTAAGACATTTCTCTCAAGTTTGAAAATTGCCCCCCAGATGTGGCTATTGTACGATGGTGCTCCTCCGCATTTTAGTTTACAAGTGCAGTCAGGGCCGCCTAGATCTTCCGACCTAGATAGGTTAGACTAGTTTTTCTGGGGGCATCTGAAAAGCTTAGTGTACGCAGTGCCGATTCAAACCGAAGAAGAGTTATGAAATCGTATAATAGTATGCTGCCAAACCATAAGAAACACCCCAGGAGTCTTTGAAAATATGCGTCAGTCTATGCGAAGAAGAGTAGATGCGTGCATATGTGACAACACTACAGCGAACAAATACTAGACTATGACTAGACAGAATCTGCACGTGATCACATGTATTTTGACTGGACATTGCCAAGTACGGAAGCAGCTCCATATCATGGGGATATGAGAATCCGCACTCTGCAGGGGATGCGAACAAGAAGATGATATCATCGAGCATATCCTCTATGATTGCCCGACAAAACTCATTTATTAGAATATTTGGGTTGGCTAGCACCGGCCGATATAAGAGAAGCACCTCTTGGCGACATTGTCAACTACATTAAATCTGTAGGCTGGCTCACGAGCTAGGGGGTGCCTATCTAGTTAGGAGGATGCATAATGGGTCTAGTGAGGTCTAAATGCCGTGTGTTACATGTTACAGATACAGAGGTGCGTCAGTCTATGCGAAGAAAAGTAGATGCTTGCATACGTATGGGTGGAGCACACTTCCAACAATTACTGTAAATAGTTTGGTTCTTTATTTTGTTTGTATTCTCTTGTCATTTCGCTTTAGATTTAAGATTTTGAATTTATCGTTTTACTACCTACCTTTTCTTTCTATCTAAACATTCAATATCATCCCTACGTGGACGTCAGTGGTGGAAGAAAAAAATTAATTTTTGCCCAGAAAAAAATGTGTTTCCAAGCATAGTGGATGCCTACCAAATTTCAACAAAATATTAAAAGCAGTTGCAAAGAAGAAAAAAAATTTTGTACGAGAAAACGCTGCGTCGTACGAATGCAAGTCAAGGGACCAAATTTTCTCCAAAATAAATGAGGAGTTTTCAAATAATTTTGGTTTTTAAAAAAAGGAGTGACGTATCACTTTTTTCTTCAAACATATTCAGTTCAAACCATGTACTGGTAAAAATTTAAAAAATCTTTTACGTCAAAAAATGCTCCATAATGATTAAAAGGTGTGTACAAAATGTTATAAAAATATCTGGAGTAAACTGTAATACACGGTAACTCAAAAATTTAGGGGTTTACGACGTATGTTGAGACTAATTTGTGATGACATGCCACATTGTCAAACCCAGTAGAAATATTATAATTTAAGTTTAAAAGCTCAATTGAAGAATTCCATCGGACATTTGTTATGTTATTCGGTTATTTAGTTTAGGAAGTTAGGAATAAATTATCCTGGACGCCGACCCAGGTATATCGAGGATAATAGACCTTTTTCGATTGCAGGTACCATAATAATTGTTAAGTTTCAATTCTCGGTCAGTCAGGCTGTATCAGAGATTATAACCATTCATAGATAAAATATAATATTCAGGATGCCAAGATTATTTCGACAAGTAATACGCTCTATTTCTATTTGTAGGTTCGCGGCTAGGAGGCGATAAGTAAGAGAGCGGATAAAGAGAAGGATTTTACGCAGAGACAACTTTTGTTAACAATGAATAAATGTGTAAGCCGATGTGCACTTATAATAAACAACGTAGCTGATGTAAGCCCTGTTGCCATTTCCAACCTAACATAAGTAGGTTTCAGTTAAATTTGATATAACTAATGATTCTTTTTTTGGGTTCAGTTGCAATAAAATAGGTTGAATTATTTTATCTTTTTTAATATATGAAAATAATTTTGTAAACAAAACGAGAAAAATAGGCATAAGACAACAATACCCTCCTGTGTCCCTTAGAATATGTCTTATTCAGGAACGCACGATATTTGTTAGTAATTACATCTGGGCTATATCCTTCGAGTTACTTACTAACTTGCCGCTCGGTGAAATATATTGTCACGTATAAATTCATAATTTTTCTAATTTTAATTAATTAAATAACATCATGTACATACAACTTTGTTTAATTATGTCAACAATTTGTTTTAAATTGCAATTATGTGCAAGGTTGGTTATTTAATAATTATTAAACATTAGTTTCATAATAATAAACGATGGAGAAGTTATAAAGGTAATGTCGAGAGGATGCGCAGGGCTTTTTCCACAGATAAGGATCCTCCCCATAGGAGGCCCCCTTGTAGGTGATTTCCAGTAGCAGCTCTTTATAGTTTAAATTAAAAGTATTTTTTTTATATTTTGAATAGTTAGCTAAGGGTTGTGACATGTGCCCAAGATATTTTTGGAGTGGTAAGTTCATATTTTGTCTACCACTTGTTTGGGTCGAGCTGTGACCTATTTTGTATTTTTATGTTAAATATAAACTATATTTGTTTTAAGTAAACATTGTGTTTCTTTTATTCTTCAAAGGTTTTAATTGCCGAATAAACCCCCTATATAGTTAATGGCTACGAAGCCAAGTTTAAGGCAATATGTCTGAATTTATATATTTTGCTTGATAACCCCCGGGACACAGATAGTCCCATAATTATTAAGAACAAGCATAACGTGACAATATACTAATTAAAATCGTACGTGTATTTTATTACAACTCCTCATCAACCCTACAGACTTTTTTTCTTAAAATAACCCAAAGATTCACACACTTAAGTTTCGGCACTTAATAAATACCTTGTTTAATTTTTAAATTTTTTGTAATATCGGTTTGTAATAACTCATTGTCGCTTACCAATAGAAATATAAAAACATGTGCGTGTTTTTACACAAAAAAAAAATAAACATGAAAAAAGTTGTTTTATTTTAATATCAGTTGTGTGATTTGCCTAAGTGTTGTCACAATTCGCGATTCATATTAATTTTCGCGCGCCTGTAATTTGTCACCTATGAGTAGGATATTTGTTTATTTACATCGTGTTTGTTTTGGGCGGGATTTTGTATTTGTGATTTTTTAACTTTTAGATATCATTATAAAAGTGTTTTTGAGTTTCAATTAGTGGTAATTTAAATATGATATTTAGCATGGGTTTAATTGTTGGAAATCTTCACTTATTCGGATGCTATACAAACATCTAGATATATGTTTTAACTAAACGCAAAACATATTTTATTATGTGGTTTAAAGGAAATTTCAGGTACCTAATGTTTATTGATGAAGTTAATTAAAAAGTATCCTTATTCTTATATTCTGGAGTGAATTTTGTGGCACTTTGTAACTACGTAAACCGAAATAAAACTGTCACAATGCAGAAGGATTCTAGATATAAAATGTAGCAAAATCTCAATAATGTGAATTTGTAGATATTAACTTATCGCAAGAAACCAAATTTTACGACTTATGCTTGGAAAATAGTGATGATTTTGAAATTCAACTATTATCACCATATAATTTGCAATTTGCTGGGGGCTTTTTCGCAATTTCATTTTTAATATCAACACTATCACACGCTATGAGAAATAAACAATTTTAATGCTCACGAATAAGAAAAAATTGGAATTGATAATGATACAAATTTATCTATAAACAGACAATGTTGCCATGTACTGAAATTTAAAGAAAAATAAATATAATTAAATCTGTTTTATTAAAATCTTTAAATATAGACTATGATTACAAATTGACAAAATTTTGCTACTTAAAAAAGGTCTTTCCACTGTTAGGTGTAAAAATTCGCGTACGTAGCGAAATTCCGCTATTGTTGGCGACATTGGAAAAAGTCGTACTTGTAGACCTTTTATAAATATCCTCCAGAAGGCGTATTCGCTTAGTTTGAATCGTTGATATTTCAGGTGTTTTAAGTTTTATTGTTATCATATAAAATGAATAGACCACAAATGCAAAATAGTTATTTATCCAAAGCCGACTGCATTAGAGTCGTTACTCTTTACGAAAAAGGGTAAATTTCGATATCCCCGCTATCGCTATGCTCTCTGGCTTTGTGACTAACATTCGGTTTGGCTAATATCCCAGCAACATATCTGCACGTATGCCTAACACGAAAAAATAAGTACTATATATGAGTAAGTACCAAATTTCAATCCCACTGAATACATAACTGCTTGAAAATTTTAATAGGTTCTACATACCTAGTCCATTTTTAAGATATTTCTGGCAAGAAAACGGATGTTGGGAAAAGTCGTCGTTCTTCTTTCCGACTGCAGCTACAGTTATGTTTTCTGGCAAGTTTGCTTTGATGATGGTTGCTTCAGTATTATTTACTTCAACTTTTGGATGTCTGTAATAAATCATGAAACTGTCCTCCAATTCTGGTGGTGAGAAGGCACTGGGGTCCAACTCGAATCTGCAACAAACAGCAAATGTTATATTTGCAAAATACGATGAAAGACGAAGGTTTTAAAAATAGAAAATAAACGAATTTTTCAAGTTTGATAATTATTACTATTTTCATTTTTTTTTTTATTGCATTAACCATTATTTAGAAATTATTAATTGAATAGTTTCAGCTTGCCTTCTCCACAGTAGGCACGTGTAATTTTTTTTTTTTTTTTAAATAAAATCGGTCATTATTATTAAGTATACGAACATAAAGCATATAAGACTCGCCTAAAGTAATTTCTGCCTAGACACTGCTCCCTTCTTCTTTGTTATATCATAATCTTATATTTTTAAGCAACCAACTATGAAAAACTTATTCGGTGCATTGTATTGAAATGTTTTATGAAATCTAAGAAAAAGTGAACATTTTTTGTTTAAAATTCTCATGGTATTCTAAGCAGTAAATCGTTAATGAAGGCCACTGACTATTGAAGCGTAAAATGTAACTTATAATTTTCAAGATAATTTTTTATTGATTCTTTGTTATACTCTTAGCTCGTTATAGGCATTGAGACATTTCCTTGCTGCATTAACAACAGAAGGGGACACAATAGATCTTTTAGGTTGCGGTGTATTAACACCCAATTTCCAACACAACACACAACATATACCCTTCACACAGCAGTCTGTGTAGAGTATTTATATGTTTATTTACAACCATATATGTAATGTTGTCATTACTAACATCATTGAAGGTTGGGAAGTGTCACATTACACACCTCTACTTCCCGCCCTCATTTCATCTATTCTAGATGAATATTTTTTATATTAAAAAAAAAAAAAATTAACAGTGTTTGACAAATTTTATAATACCTATTTAATGGCAAACAATAAAAAACAACAATGATCTAAAATATAACAAACTACTTATTGATATTTATTATTCGCGAATTTAATATCCGGCTTTATGACATTTATTTTTATTGGTGACAGTTGTTTACCCCGTAATCACAGTAACAATATATTTACCTACTTGATTATTCTGAGAAAACCGCGCGCTTGGTAATTTGTCGTTAAATGTAATATTTTAGGTATGTTCAGAACAAAACAGAGATTTATTAACTTTGATCGAAATATGATGGTTGTAAATAAAATAGTATACAAACCTCGGTAGGAAGTTTCATTCCTGTTTCGAGATCATAGCTAACCTCGACGCTTCGCGTCTCGGTGATCTAACTAATCTCACGACAGGAATGAAACTTCCTACCGAGGTGTGTAATATACGTCCCATGTTACGTTTGTTGTCCGCACGATAAGTCGAAAAGTCAATGTATTGCAAAAGAACTGTCACAATTGTTAACGGTAAATTAAATAAAGGTTATAGTGTTATTAATAACATAATATACTGCCAATTAGTTTGACCGAATTGCCACTTATATAAAATGTAAAAAATAATAGTAGTCGGATGACAAAAATATAAACTCTGATTGGCAGATTTTTAGTGTTCTTACCGGTCTAGGACATTTGATCGCGACCGTTTGGGCGCGGAGACGTTTGGGCGCGGAGACGTTTGGGCGCGGGGACATTTGGACGCGAAGAATTTACACATATTATTACGAGTACTATTACTGTTTTATTTTCTAAAATAAAATATATACAATTTTATAGAAACTAAATTTTAAGCAGTCATTTTGTAATTGTATAAAATTCCACTTCAAAATTCAATAATATTCCTATCATTTGCGATATGATCATTATTGTAATCTTCAATCATTTTTTTTATTCTTTTATCAGCCTGGATAAATTTTTGTTTTTTAGGTGTAGGCTCATTTCCCGCAAGTAAGTGCTCATAAGCAACATCTTTCCCCCGTTGGACAGTTTTCAGGCTGTTGATGAATTTCCAAATGGTTGGATGGTTCATCGACAGCTCTATTTGTAGCCTTCTGTGTGCTGCCTCTGCGTGGTTATTTGTCCTATCTGTGTCTGTCAATACCCGATTATTTACTGACCACAGATCTGGAGGAAATATTGCTTGGCGGCGTCCGTTTCCCCTCCTACTTGAAAATAAAGCTCTATTTAAGAGGACGAAGTCTATTGATTTTGTAAAAAATCTGAAAAATCGATTATTTTCGATTAATCGATTGTTTTCGATTAATCGATTGTTTTCGATTAATCGATTATTTTCGATTAATGAGGCCGGAAAGTCACATAGATCAATCTTCCGAAGCCTGTCACGAAGTTCAATAAGAAATAGTCACAACAGCTATGCGTCCCGAAAAAGCCAATCACCCACACCGAGCCGGTTTTCTAGCAATAATCAGGAAGTAGAGCATCGTAGAGGCCGTCTCCGTAGCAACGCAGACATTCTCTCCAGGCGACCCTGTTTAGAACGAGAATGCCGGTACAGTAAGGGTGCTTGGAGAAAAGTCCAGGGTAGTTCACATTGGAAAGTTAGCGCGATGCCGTGGTCAATTATTCGGGGCGAATAACAAGAGAGGAGGGATAAATGTTACGCAGCACCCTGCAGCGTGCTGCGGTCGTCATAAGTAAAGGAACGCGTAAATGAAGAAGATAGAATAGTCCAGAAATGTCTCGAAATGTCATTCCTTGTCAAAGAAAAATCCGGATTGTTCGAGAAGGTTGAGCTATATAAGTCGACGACCTGACGGTAGTGGGGAGTTTTATGATAGACGTTATATGTTAATGTTATCAGTTGTATAGTTATTGTAAACGTCGAGTTGAAATAAATTGAGATACCAAACACCTGCGTAACAGTACCATGTGTAATTTCTCGATAATTTGATGTAACTTTTTTTTTAATTTGGTGTCATCGACTACTACGGCCATTAGTCTCGTGTTCTGTGCAGGCTTTGTTACTGTTTCCCAGCGCCACTTTAGGAACGACACTGTTAATTAGAACCCAACAGTGAATGGTCGAGTGAGGAATCCTACCTATGCATTAGAATTAATATTTAATTTTTTTTTTTTTTAATTAAATAAAAATCCCTGACACCGGTGGGATTCGATCCTGAGACCTTCCGATCTCAAAGTCATGACTCTAACCACTGAGCCAACCCATCCCAATTGATACTTTTATTTTATATTATAAAGTGGTTTATTATACCAACTTGTATGAGAGTATTTGTATATTCGCGATTCAAGCTAAGTGATACGCCCTCTGGAGCAAATTTGTAGAAGGTCCCTATAAGTAGGATATCGTTCAGTGTTGCCAGAAGTAGCAAAATTTCGCTACGTCGTCGGATTTTAGCTCTCAGAGAAGTGGATAAGACCTTTTATTTAAGAATCAAAATTTGTGTATAGTAATATGTAATCATACTCTATATATATATTTGAGGATTTTTTTAAAAAACCGATTTTTTATATTGATTTTTTTAAATTTCAGTTCATTTATTAATTTTGTTTTAAAATCAGTTCATCATTTGGCAACATTGGCGTTCGTGTTTTGTTTATTTCTTACAGTATGTGATAGTGTTTATATTAAAATGAAATCTGCGAAAAGTCCCCAGCAAATTGCAATCTATATGGTGTTAATGTCAAAATCAAAACTGAAGTATTCCTTAATTTCCAAGTGCAAGTCGTAAAATTTTATTTTATACGATAAATGGATATCTACAAATTCACAATATTGAAATTTTGCACAACTTTGTTTAGATTCACACTGTAATTTGTGACGGTTTAATTACCATTTACATGTATACAAAGTACTACATAATTCACTTCATAATATAAGAATAAGTCTAGTAAGATTTTTAAATAAGTTCATCAATAATAAACGTTTGGTACCTGAAATGTCCTTTAAACCACATAATAAAACATGCCTTGGGTTTAGTAAATACATATTTCTAGATGTTCTTGTAGCAACCAATAGGTGAATATTTCCAACAAATTGAGTCATACACATGATAAATATTATATTTATAACGAGACCTAAATTTAAATTAACACTATATGAAACTCAAAAACACTATTAGAATGAGAATATCATCTAAAAACAGTTAAATAAATCACAAATACAAAATCCGCCCAAAACAAACACATGTAAATAAACAAACATCCTACTTATAGGTGACAAATGACAGGCGCGCGAAAATTAATTTGAATCGCGAATAGTATTATGCAAATGTATGGAATAAATTTATAATTCAAAAAACAGACCGCTTTTCAAAAATCCTAAAACACGTCAATTTCCTATATTTTCATAATTATTTTAGATGTGCTAAATTAAATCAAGTAAGCTATTTAATGTTGATAATGTGATGTATTTTAGGCATTACATAAAGCTATAAAGTCCTTTAAGTTAGAGGTAAAAAATTAAAAATAAGTTTCAAAATAATGCGTTTTAAGAAGTTATTTGCCTAAAATGATTTTTTTTATTTTAGAGTTTATGGATGGAATTATTTCCTATGATTAAAAAATCATTTTGTTTTGTGTTTAATATTTAAAATATTTATTTCTTCAGAAAATCTATATTGTGATATTATCTATAGTAACGAAAGATTCTACAAAATAATATTTAGGTAATACCATGTGTAATACATTACATTTAAAATTATGTACTGTCTATTTTAGCTCTCAAAAATTATTTATCACAAAATTTTGCATTTTTATCAGCATTTTTATATAACACGCATATCATGCGTGGTGTAAAAAATGCAAAATTTTTATTATATAAATCGAAATAATATCAAAATAAAATACCATTACAGATATCTACATTAGCGACTGAGTAAAGTTGATTAGTTGAACAATAGCAGAATTGTTGCCAAATTACTAAAAAGAATCGGTAACTCTACTAATAGTCCAGTAATTGAAGGGTCAAACCTGTAGAAAATTCGCTGATGGGTTCCCATATAGCGCAATTTGTAGGTCATCGCAGGTGTTTTTAAACGAGAAAATCCTTAACGCGTTCTTGGTACCGGAAATGGACCCCTAAAACCTGGGAAATGGGTTTCCCGCTAATATCTGACTGAATATGCCAATTAGAAAATTTTTATTCAGACAAAA